AAGAGAGATGAATTATATAAAATTCTAGTGTATTTGTGATTGAAATCTAAGGCCATATTTATAAACTTATTAATGTCTTTTTTCAAAAGTCAAAACCCTCCAAAAAAATGTTTTTTTCTTAAAAGTCATGATCCTTTTAAATATGCGTCTTTTTTTTAAAAAGCGTGATTCTTTTAAAAGAGATGTCTTTTGGGTAATAATCACAATCTTCTAAATAAATGTTTCTGGAACTTCAGGGGAGTGCCTACTGTTGAAGCATCTTGTTGATAAATGCAAGGATATCATTAAGCTTCACAACTACAAAGTAGTGCACACCTTGACAGAGGGAAACAGTGTGCTGATATTTTGGCAAAGAGTAATGCTATAAAATTTAAAAAATTGTAATTTAAATGCATATCATCTGTTAAATGAGTAAGTCTCATTGATTTTTTCAGTAGGACCTACTCATCTCATCACACTCATCCAAGGAGGAACTTGTTGAGCTTCTACACCCACCTGCAAAACTCAAGACCGACTTGGGAGTGGATTAGAATGTACTTGAACTTTTTCCCAATATATCGAGAAAAAAAAATATCTCACAATAGTCACATCTTTTTAAATAGTATTTTTCCTAAAAGTCAACAATTATTCAAATAATAAATTTTCCTAATAGTCATCATTATTCAAAATAAATCAATTATTCAATTAAATAATAAATAAAGTCTCAAAAAATTTTACAAGTTTTATAGATTAGTATATATGTTTTTGAGTTTATTAACAATAAAAAAATTATAATTTTTTTTATAGTGTTACTATATTTATAATTTAAGTTACAACTTTTTAAAGGTCATTTACAATTTTTAGGGTCGATCCTAAAGAGTAAACCTAAAAGTTATAAATAACTATTAAAATTTGTTAATGACTTTTAAAACTTATAAATAAAAAAAATTATAAAAATTGTACATGATCTTACGGTGTTGAATTTTTTTAGGTACCATGCATTATCTTCTCTTGATTTTTAACATATTTCGTTCAACTACTTGAATTAGTTTTATAGTATCCAATTCAAACCCTTGTTATGTTTTGTTTAAAAAACAAATGATTTCCACCAACTGTTCGATTTAGGATGTAGAGTAAAACAAAATTACATAATTTATGAAAACCGAGTGACCATGCATAAAAATATTGTCCATGCTAAATGTGACTAAATAGAACATAGAATGCTTGATTTAATTTATGGAGTCAGATACTCATCGTTTTCAAATCATTTAGGTCTAACGACATATCTTATTCTCTTACATTTCAACTTTTGAAGTACGATAACTCTTTCTATTTATATTTAATCTTTTCACCACGATAAATATTTTAACTACTCACTTATATTTTAATCACGATAAACATTTTAACCACATTTTAAAAAAAAGAGTGCTTTGCATAGTTTCCTCTACTATTCAATAAACTAGTTAGATTGATGTCATTTTCACGTACTCAACTAAAAGATTCATAGAACTTTAAGGAAATACAATGCAGCAATGAAAACTATGCGTTATCATTAATTCCTTTCACAGTGGCCACTGGTCCACTACTGCGCTAGAAAACATTTTGTTTTGACTTAAAATATAAAATTGTTTAGACATTCGATGTTGTGATGTTAGGATGTCTAAAATCATTAAAAAGTTGTCGCGTGTCAAAATTTGAAGAAAAGACAAAAAATGATCATTCACAACTTTGATTTAAAAGAAGAAATAACTGTCTAATTGTAACAAAGTCAATCAATTGTTGATAACGGTAAAAATCGTTGAAAGGAGTGACTATAAAAAGAGAAAAAGAAGGAAGTTGAAAGACAATTCAAACCCCCCACGATCAGAGAATTTATGAGTAGTACTAAAATTAGTTTTAAAAAATAGCTAATTAACATGATAAATGTAACTTATTCATAAAAACAATCATGTTACAACAATAATAATCAAAGTTGGAAGTATAACACCAGAAAAATGATTTTCAGTGACAAGCCTTCAACATATATAGAGACTAAATATTGTCCATGCTAAATGCGACTAAATAGAATATAGAATGCTTGATTTAATTTATGGAGTCATATACTCATTGTTTCCAAATCATTTAGCTCTAATGATGTATCTTATTCTTCACATTTCAACTTTTGAAGTACGATAACTACTCTTTCTATTTATATTTAATCTTTTCACCACGATAAATATTTTAACTATTGACTTATATTTTAATTACGATAAACATTTTAATCACCAAAAAAAAAAAAAAAATAGGAGTGCTTTGATGTCAATATCGCGGACTCAACTAAAAGATTCATAGGACTCAAGGAAATACAATGCAGCAATGAAAACTATGCGTTATCACTAGTTCCTTTCACAGTGACCACTGGTCCACTCCTGCACTAGAAAACATTTTATTTGGACTTAAAATATAAAATTATTTAGATATTCGACGCATGTGATGTTAGTAGCTTGAAACCATTAAAAGGTCAAAATCTGAAAAAAAGACAAAAAATGATCGTTCATAACTTTGATTTAAAAGAAGGAATAACTAAAGCAATAGAAACATGTTATTCCAAAATCTGCTGTGATCAATAAAATATTTCAATCAATAGATAGTTATTAGACAATTGCTTGTGGATAAGTTTAATTGTCTTGTTTCAAGATTTCCTTGAATAAAGTTTTAAAACAATGAATACACAAAATAAAGTTTTAAAACTAATAAAAATAAATCAATCGAATGAGTTTCAGTTACAGAGATACATAATTAACAACTTTTGATTACAATATTAACTACTTTTAAAACTAATTTTAGCACTTCTTTTAAATGTTCTGATCGTGAGTCTTGTGGGAGGGTTTGAATTGTCTTTCAACTTCATTCTTTTTCTCCTTTTATAGCCACTTCCTTCAACGATTTTTACGACGATTGATTGGTTTTGTAATTATTAAAACCCCAAAATATCATATAGAAGTTATTGAACCTCACGTTATGATTCATGAGTTCACCACAATCACGCAAATAGACCGAAGATACTTTTAGAGATAAGGACATCTATGGTTGTTTCTCACATGGGTAGAAACTACCTATTGAGTGTCAAGTTCCACATTTTAGTCGCCTTTTTAATGTTGTATATTGGAATATTAGGACAACAATTCGTAGTGAGTGGCAGATAAAATCTATCATTTTTGTCATGAAAATCAATAAAATTTGACAGATTCAGATTAGATCTGAACCTAATTTATGAGTTGAGGTCAAATCAGACTAGATTTAACTCATGACTTCAGTCCAATATTCAAGAGTTCAAGAAGAGTCAATGCACGTGGAAGAACAATCATCCGAATATCTATGACTCTAAAATAATGTCTATCCACAATAGTAGCTATCATATCCGATAAATTAATAGTTTGACCTTCATGTCACTGCTACAACTGCATCACACACTCGATTGATTTGGTTGTGCATAAATTCACTTTTGTGCATCATCAAAAATAGTTTTATTATTGATAACAATAGGATTTTAGAGTGAACTGCTCATCTTAAACCCTAATCACCTAATGGGCCAAAAAGGGTGCACAATGGCCCAAGAAACCCCTTAACAACTCATCTGCTCCGTAATGAAAAATGTGTCATAATCCAAAAGATGAAGCTCAATAGAGAGTTCAGCTCGACATAACCTGGCTCGGTCATAACAAGCTCAGCGTTAAGCAATTCGAAATCAAGGAGTTTGGTACACACGAGACCCCAATTGTCCCACTTCGCGCCACGTGTCCAGGGGACCAAGGGACAACTTTTAAATCCTTTAACGAACGTGTACTCTCTGGCAAACAGAATATTTGTGCACGTAATCACCCAAGGATCGTGGATACAGTGACATCGCATGACAAAGATCACTAAATGACAAAAGAAGAGGGGACCACATAATCAATAAAAAAGGAAAAGAAAGCCGTAAAAAACTCTAGAAGGATTACTAGAACACTATCACACTTTAAGGAAAAAGGGGCAATTCCATCAATTGATATACTGTTAATATTAAAGTATTGTATGGACAGGTTTTAAGCTCAACAGCCTATTGTAATCTTCTTCTTCAAGAAATATACACACCTCCAAAGAACAAAAGACTCTATTACAGTAGACGTAACCTTCGTCTCTCGACTAAAGTGAACCACTTATATACTATTTCTTGTTCATTCTCACAACTTAATCTATTGTCAATTCATATATTCACGCTACCCCCCTCTCTGGACCATCAAGTCTCTGGACCATCAAGTCATCATTCTGGACTCGGGCTAAACACTTCCGAACACCATCAGTAATAATGAATTAGAAAACTTATCCTACTTAGGAAATTATAATCATCAAGACAGCTCACAAAACAGTCGATCTAATCATCACTCCCATCAGTTTGGGCAGCTTCAGAACATGGAACTAGTCAGTCATACCGAAAAAAATTTATTCCTAATTTGGTTCTACAACTAATTTCATCCATCAGTAATCCCGACATCAGAAATGCAAATAACCAACAAATATTAGTATTGGAAAAAAACTGGCAGAGTTTTGTTTGGTTAGTGAAAGCAAATAAGTCCCAATGTACTAATCTTGCTTCCTCAAATCTCTGGAATGCTCATTTCCAAAGGTGATGAATACAACCAAGCTTCATCCTCTTCTAGGGAACCCTGGAGTTCTGCAGCTCTCTTGTTCAAGGCAAGCAAAGAGTGAACCCTATCTTTGAACATATAGTTGTAATCAAGGAGAGAAATAATCATGAAATTCAAGTGAAGAATAATCTCGGAACCTGGCTTCTATCCTTTTAGGACACAGACATCCTTTTTAGTAGAAAGTGAACCAATGAATTGAACCGAAGAAATAGAAAAAATAAATCTTTCAAACAAATTGTTCTTGCTATATATCAAGATACATACACCAGCTACTTCAGCAGCCAAACTTTTTAATTAGTCGCGTGGACCTCAAATATCTGTGACAAGCTTGCCAGTGGATTATATGATGTTCCACTAAAAACTTGTGATGGCTTCACTTGTGAAAGGGAAGGGATATGGCAAGCAAACCAATAGTCCTAACACCAAAACTACGACTCCAAGGGCTACATACTTGTTGTCGGGATCTGTAATTTCTTCAGAGAGTGGAGCAATTGGCCCTCTCTGTAAAAAGAATAGCAGAACTGCCCAGTAAAATGCCACATCGTTCACCAATGATGACAGTGCAAGCAGTACAATGGAAGCACCTGTGAAGCGAGATGAAGCCTGCCAAATGAAAAACTGGATCAGATAAAACACTCCTTTGCTATATTTCATTTTTTCCTTCATGGCTAGATGGCAAACAATCGGATTATCATCACGGACTACAGTCAGGTCGTTTGTGAACTCATAGGAGAAAACACAGCTACACATTACATCTGCTGTTTGCATAAGCCTGAAATGGCATACCTTTCTACCCCATATAGCAAAAGATATTCGTCCCCCATCAAGTTCCCCTGCAGGGATGCTGTTGATGGCATTGATGAGGAGTCCAGCCCATGCCCATATTAGTAGCGGGTTGACTGATATGGGAGTGCCTTCCCTGAGAACATCACCGAGAAGCAACTTCGCTATAAATGGAGAAAAAAAATCTCACTTTACATGTTGACAGCACCAATTACCAAAATTTATGCAAAGTCAGATACGATAAGTTTAATATGATAATTCAACAGAAGAGTGAATGCTGAAGACGAATTTCAATAACAAAATTAACTGCTGAAAAAATGTGAAAAGAATATAAGATGTTCCAACATCTGTAAGTCCCATGATTGCACTAGGATACACAAATTCTAGCAAGTCAAAAACGTTTAAAAAAAGTACTTACCTATACCTCCTGCAAGAAGTGACTCGTGAAATACAGAAGCATCAACTACAACACCAATTCCATCACTTGGAGGCAAGATGAATCCCAGAAGTAGAAGAACAAGGCCCAAGGAAAACCCAGCTAAAGGTCCTGCCGCTGCAACCTTCAGAAGATCCTCACGTTTGGAGACAATGTTTAAAATCCGTGTTATAGCACCAAAAGAGCCTATCTGCCACCAAAATATCTCATTAGATTTTCCTCATTTTATTTTGATGAAACAAACACTAGATAATTGGCCATGTTTTTGCAAAAGGAAGAATGTTTTATAATATTCAGCTGGTTTGCCAGACGTTTAAAAGGAAGCAACACCCCGGTTGCAAAGGACGTATTTTCCAGACAGAAAGGCAATTTAATTTAAGCTCAATTATACTGTGCAGAAATGACAAAATGGGTGTTACAAGTCAGTTACCATTTGCATGGACTATGGACACTCTTTGGCGATCCTGGTGACCGAAACTTTTAACTTTCTAAAGTATAAAAATACGCCAGTATGACCAGATGCAATATAGGATTGAAGAAGGGCTCCCAGTGAAACCTTTATTAAAGGCGAAGAAATGATTATTGAGCTTTCTAGCTTACAATATGGTATCAATTATCATCTCAGAAGATTCATTTACAACAGGCACAAACACAAAAAATTCTTCCCATGAGTTCTATATCTTGCAGGAGTAGCATATCTCTCACCTGCCAACTAGGAACATAGTAGGGAACCCCAAGCTTAATTCCAGTACTTCTTGCGACAAGAATGTGGCTGATCTCATGTACCCCTAAAACAAGTGCAGTCACGCTGGCTCCAGGAAGGCCATCCTTTAACAAGTCAAGACTGTCAAAAGTTGATCTGGCAAATTACAGTATGAATATTTTCGTCAACTATAAACCCAGAAAAGTCTTACTGAATGAGTAAATAACCCAATCCAACCAAGTATTATTGTGAGAACATTATTGAAAACACACACAGGAAACAAATATAAACCTGTTAGAGTAATCTAGTATATTAGCATTAGGGGTAGATTAGTCATTTATATTACTATATAAATTCGTTTGTGATACAGACTTGGTTTGTGCTTTTTCAATATATTGTTCTTCTTTCATCGATAAACATCAACATGGTATCAAAGCCTTAATCCCTAAACTCAAATAATAATCTCTGATTAAAGTCTAGAAGAAGAGAAGAGAAGACAACTTGATGAAACCGACTTGGTGAACACCGACGACAAACAACACTGACGTCATCATCGCCGGCGATGACGTCATCAACATAGTTGTTAGTATCGTACAATACGCGACACGTATCGTACGATACGTTACGATACAGAGGTAAAACGATACGGATCATAGTTATGTATCGTTTTTGCGTCGTATCGTCCGATACACGATACGTTTTTACGATACGATACGTATCGGTACGATACGCGTAAAACCTGTTTTTTTTTTCCTGAAACGATATCATTTTGTCTAAATAAGACACTAATTTTATCCCCGCCACTGATGAAATGACGTTGTTTTGTCTAAATAAGACACTAATTTTTATTTTTTTTATAAAAATTTCTGAATCTTGATTAATTTTATGGATTTAGTTCAAAATGGATGTTAGAAATTTGGATTAAATGTCTCTTTGGTATTTGAAATTTGAATTAATGAACTATGGTTGTAAACTTTGCATTATAATATTAGTGAACTATGTTGATGACTTGAATAGGTGGTGGAGTATTAATGATATACTATATTTTTATGAGTGTATAATTTTTTTTTTAAAGGTATATATATATTTTTATTATTTATTTAAAATTACACCGTATCTTACGATACACGATACGATACATTATTTTTAAAAAACGATACACCTTCCGATATACGATTTAATAACTATGGTCATCAGTCTCCGACCATGAATACCACCACCTTAATCGATTCTTTATGGGCTTCTCAATGGTGTTCTCCCTTTCTTGTTTCGAGCTCATCCGGTAAGTCTTCTTGGCTGGTTTCTGGTCTGAAAAATGCACCGAGTGTCTCCATATGTTCCTTGCTTCTGGTTTGTGATTGGATTTCGGGAGTCTTGTGTGATTGGATTTCGGTTTCTGGTCTGGTAAATGCACCGACTGTCTTCGTCTATTCCTTGCTTCTGGTTTGTGATTGGATTTCGGGTTTCTTGTGTGATTGGATTTTGGTTTCTTGCTGTCGCAGCCGTCTGATTATCACCTGACTATTTTTCTTCTTGCCATTGGTATTCGGTGGGTCTTTTGATCCACTAGTGGGCTGTTGTCTCCCTAGGCCTTGACGTTTTTGTGGATTTTGTTTGCTATCTACTAGGCTTTGTATTATTGAACTTTGGTTTGTTGGGTTTTGTGACTAGTGATTTTGCTAGGCATAGTTACTGGTGTTGCTGGCTTGCTGGATTTCTGGAATTGGGTGTTGCTGAATTTATTGTTATTTTCTGCTTTATTTTGGGTATTATTTTGCTGAGACCTCTTGTTAGCATTATAGCAAGTGGACATTCTAATTCTCTTCAAGCTATTAGTGTCAGATTAAATGGTGAAAATTATGTATATTGGTCTTATGTTATAAAGAATTTTCTGTTGGGGAAAAAGATATGGAGTTATGTTAGTGGTGCTTTGCAAGCTCCAACAGATTCGAAGGCAGAGAAATATGCTAAATTAAAGAATACCTGGGAAGTCAACAATGCTAAAATTATCACTTGGATTAACAACTCAGTTGATCAGACCATTGGTGTGCATTTGGCTAAGTTTAACACAGCCAAAAAGATTTGAGATTATTTAGCTACATTGTTTGTTCAATCTAATTTTGCAAAGAGATATCAGCTTGAGCATGAAATTCGAGCTGCACGTCAAGGTGATAAGACCATACAAGAGTTCTACTTGGTTATGACTAGATTTTGGGATCAGTTAACACTTGCTGAGCCAGCTGAATTGAGTACTCATATAGTATATCGTACTTTTAGAGAGGAGCAGCGGTTGGTATAGTTTTTGATGGCCCTTAGAGATGACTTGGAGGGCCTTCGTGGTTCTATTCTACATTGTCTCCCACTTCCCACAGTTGATAAAGTAGTGAATGAGCTTCTGGTTGAAGAAGTCCGTCTTAAGACTCTTTCTGGAAAGGGTCTTCTTTCATTGCCTAATCAGACTGTACTGGCTGTACCACCCAGAGGGACTCCTCATTCACAGACTAAATATCGAGGTCAAGTTGTTTTGGATGAGTGTAGTTTTTGTCGTGAGAAGGGGCACTGAAAGGCTCAATGTCCTAAATTAGTGAATAAGAATGCTAAAAGGGTCTTACAGCAGCCATTTAGGCCCAAAGATCGTCATACAGCCGCAGCTGCTTCACTAGTGGATGATACACTCCCATCAGCTCCCAGCATGACTATGATAGCTGATCAGTTACAGAAGCTTCTTTCCTTTCATCAACCAGGTGCCCTATCAGTTTCTCCTTCCGCAGGTTCATTTACTACAGGACCTTCAGGTATCTCTCGAATTGCCTGGGTCTTTGACTCAAGAGCCATCCATCATATGACTAATAACTCTTCCTTATTTGTTTTTATTGTTTCCCCTCCTTCTATATCTGTTCTTGCAGCCAATGACACCCAAATGTCTTTGGCTGGTGTTGGAACTATCGTGTCTTCTCAGCTTACACTTCCTGATGTCTATTATATTCCTCAACTTACTTTAAATTTAATATCTGTTAGTCAGTTGTTTGATTCAGGATTCTTAGTTTATTTTTCTTCTACTGGTTGTGTTGTGCAGGATCCACGGTCCAAGAAGCTGATTGGGACAGACCATAGAAATGGAGGGCTATATGTGTTGGACGAACTTCATGTCCTTGAAGTTGTTGCATCTACTGTTGATTTATCTTCTTTTCAATTGAGTCCAAAATTATCTAGTTTTTATTTATGGCATTCTCGTTTAGGTCATGTTTCTCATTCTCGTTTAAAAGATTGGGTAGTTTAGAGTGTCATGATATTTCAGATTGTAGTGGCTGCAAGTTGGCTAAATTTACTGCATTACCTTTCAATAAAAGTAATTCTTGTTCCCTTGCACCTTTTGATCTTGTACATTCTGATATTTGGGGACCAGCTCCTATTGCTACTAAAGGGGGTCTAGATATTATGTTTCTTTTATTGATAATTATACTAGATATTGTTGGGTGTATTTAATGACATGTAGGTCTGAGTTCTTTTTCATTTTCTCTACCTTTCGTGCTATGGTGCATACTCAATATTTTTCTATCATCAAATGTTTCCGTTGTGATCAAGGTGAAGAATATTCTTTTAGTGCTTTTCGTGATTTGTTGAAATTTGATGGCACTGTTTTTCAGTCTTCTTGTACTGACACACTTGCTCAGAATGGAGTGGCAGAACGGAAACATCGTCACATTATTGAGACAGCTTGTTCATTGTTGTTGTCATCCAGTGTCCCTAACTCTTTTTGGGGAGAAGCAGTTCTTATAGCAGTTCATCTGATCAATTGCATTCCTACAATTTTTAATTCTAGCGTCTCACCCTTTAAAAAACTATGTGGTAAGACACCTGACTATTTCTCCTTACGTGTGTTTGGATGTACCTGTTTTGTTCTGCTACCTAGTGTTCATCGTACCAAACTCTCGACTCGTTCAGCCTTATGTGTTTTTCTTGGCTATGGTGAAGGACAAAAGGGATTTCGGTGTTATGATCCTAGTACACAGAAACTCTATGTTTCTCGCCATGTTGTTTTTATGGAGCATATCCCTTTTTTCTCCATTCTATCTAGTTCTTCATCTCTACATAAATCTGATCTTATATATTTTGATCATTTTCCCTCTAATGTTTCTCCTGATTCTTATGTTGGTGATATGACTGTAGCTGATCTTCCCTCCCCTTCTTCTTCTTCTTCTTCCTCTTTCCCTGAGTTGTCTGTTACCCGTCCCCCGATTATGCATACTTATGTTCGCAGGCCTCCCACTGTCTCCTCCACAGATGTTGTGCCTCCATCTGCACCTCTTTGCTCCCAATCAATTTCTGACATCGTGGATCACACTCCCCGTTACTCTCAGCGCACTCGGAAGTGTCCTGACAGGTTTGGTTGGTCCAACTCTTGTTATTCTTCTGCTTTTTGTTCTTTCTTGACTTCTATACATTCTCTGTCTGAACCAACCTCCTATAAGGAGACTATACTTGATCCTCTTTGGCAACAGGCTATGGATAAGGAGTTTTCTGCGCTACATAAGACTCGAGCTTGGGAGTTTGTGCCTTTACCTCCTAGTAAACGCCCCATTGGTTGTAAATGAGTTTATAAAATCAAAACCCAATCTGATGGTTCTGTGAAAAGGTACAAGGGTAGATTAGTGGCCAAGAGTTTTGCTCAAGAGTATGGGCTTGACTATGATGAGACCTTTGCTCTAGTGGCTAAGATGACCACGATTCGCATAGTAATTGCTGTGACAGCTGTTCGTCAGTGGAGCCTATCCCAGATGGATGTGAAAAATGTCTTTCTTCAAGGTGATTTGTTTGAAGAGGTCTATATAACTCCTCCTCTTGGGTTGCCCTGTAGTCCTGGTTATGTATGCAAACTTCACAAGGCTTTATATGGTCTTAAACAGGCCCTGAGGGCATGGTTTGCAAAATTTTCTTCGGTCATCTATGACTTAGGCTTCTGTGCTAGTGATCATGATTCTGCTCTCTTCCTTCGATCCACTTCTTCTGGTTTCATACTTTTATTACTTTATGTGGATGACATGATTATTACAGGTGATGACAATGTTGGAGTTCAGTTGTTAAAAATTCAGTTACAGGATTATTTTGAGATGAAAGATTTGGGTCCACTTCAATATTTCTTAGGGATTGAGGTTTCTTCCTCTCCTAAGGGTTATCTTCTTTCTCAGTCAAAATATGCTTCAGATGTTATTCAGCGAGCTGGCTTAACGGATACTTGAACTGTTGACACATCCTTGGAGCTTAATGTTCGTTATACTTCCTCTGATGGTTCTCTTCTGCCTGATCCTACTTTGTATCGTACTATTGTTGGGAGTTTGGTGTATCTTACTGTTACTTGTCTAGATATTGCTCATGCGGTTCATGTGGTTAGTCAGTTTGTTGCTGCTCCTACCACACTTCACTGATTTGCTGTTATTCGGATTCTTCGATATCTACGGGGTACGTTACATCAGAGTTTATTATTTTCTTCTTCTTTGTCTCTGGAGCTCCGTGCTTACTCTGATGAGGACCGGGCTGGTGACTCTATGGATCGCAAATCCACCACTAGTTTTTGTCTCTTTCTTGATGATTCTCTTATTTCCTGGAAAAGCAAGAAACAAACTGTTGTAGCTCGCTCTTTTGCTGAAGCTGAGTATCGTGCTATGGCATCTACCACCGCAGAGATAGTTTGGTTGCGTTGGTTGCTTGCTGATCTTGGCATTTCCTTGACTACTCCTACTCCTATGTATTGTGATAACACCAATGCTATTCAGATTGCCCACAACTCATTGTTTCATGAGCGCACTAAACATATAGAGATTGATTGTCACTTTGTACGCCACCATCTTCAGCTGGGCACAATCTCACTCCCATATCTTCCTTCTACTATGCAGTTGGCTGATTTCTTCACCAAATCCCACACTATCACTCGTTTTTGTTTTCTCTTTGACAAACTCTTGATGTTGGATGCTATCACATCATGAGTTTGAGGGGGGCTGTTAGAGTAATCTAGTATATTAGCATTAGGGGTAGATTAGTCATTTATATTACTATGTTTTGCCCTAGTATAAATTCGTTTGTAATACAGACTTGGTTTATGCTTTTTCAATATATTGTTCTTCTTTCATCGATAAACATCAACAAAACCATGCTCTAAATTTTCTTAGAAAATAAGAAGCTATCCTAACTGAAACTAACAACATAAACAAACATGAGAAGCCTCCTTCACTAAGAAAGATAAGAAAATAAAAGTACATATTCTTTCCTATCTTAACTAAGAAAGTAAGGTCAATTACATCTTTAAGGACCAATAGATACACCTAATCATAACATCATATGGGTCTCCATTCTCCCGCCATAAAATGACCAGGAGAGTAGATTTGACACACTTATAGTGAATGAGGGAGCACGCACTTGAATTAGCAAACTATCTTAAAGGACAAATGAACCTTTGAATTGTTCTGCTAAACAAAGATGAACAGCAAATTAAAGGCAAAAATGAAAAAAAAACTACATACAATAAGTTTGACTGTAATGCAGGCACATTACGGAGAAGTAAGGTGAACACTGTGACTAATCCAAAAGCCCCTGCCGCAAACCATTCTGGGACGGCTGCAGATGTCAAACCAGAAGCAAGATAAAAAATATCATCCAGATAGAGTGATTTCTGCTACATATTGTCTAGTGATAGCGGATCCTTCTGACAAAATACCAGAGGTATTCAACTGAACAAGAGCTAAATAATTACCAGTTGTTTCTGGCTGTAAGGTCTTTCTTGGAACCACAACTGCCACAGGATTATCATCCTCCGGACTGATTAGAAGGAACAGCTTATATTGATCACCAAATCTGTCCTGTATGTAAATGCACATCAATTTTGATTTAATTCAGCTTCAGCCTTGAACCTTTTCAAATTTCAACATTCAAATGGAAGAAGCACAAGAAAACTAACCTGCATCCTCGTCGTTATTTTTTCGTAACTTCTAGCAGCCTGTCCTCGCAGGTTTCCTTTGAATAGTACTCCACCCTACAAAAGCAACGCAAAACTCATGAGTTCAAAACTACTTCAATGCTGGCCAGAATTGGCAAGTATTAAAAAGTTCTCTTTTCTTCTATTTGTCAGCATTATGTCACGTAGATAAGTCAATGCGATAAACTTTCAAGAACATTATAAGATTAAGCAGCACTTCCAAACAGTTCATGCTTTCACGTAACTCCATATATATTTCTCACCATCCAATTACAGGTCTACATTCCAACAAATGGTTGATATTTGTTCATGATAAATCAAAAGCTTTTAATATTTTTACAACTCCACTTGTAATTACTCCTCCCAGTAAAATATGCACAAATATATCAATGTAATCAACTCACCTCATATGGTTCCTGGCTTGTCACAAAAAAGGTATCAAAGCCAAATACTTGGTTCCTAAAAATTTCAGTTGTCTCCTTTGGTATCCTGATCAATTCATCAAGCTGCTGTGGCTGTTCACAAAAATGGGGGAGGGAAAATAATATTTATATAAAAATATAATGAATGAGTAAAATAATAAAAATAGTCAATATAAAGAGAGGGACATAAAAAGCATTGCATCTCTAATTGTAATCACCTTCACACCTGGCAGTGGTGATCCACTTGCAACTTCTATAATCTCAGCATCCTGCGAAAAAAAACAACCAATTACAATATGGTAGAGAAGAAAAATCTAAATGCTCCACAAAGAAAGCCAAGTTCTTTTTTGTCCAGCAGTTAATGAAAATGGAAGTCCACTATTTAAGCAGACATTTAGAACTTTCAAGAGGGTTATTATGCATCAGACATTATATGATATGATTCACATGCTGTACCATTGGCATCTTGTGAACTTTAAAGAAGTAGATTCTACTTCAAAGGCTTACCAACCAATTCTGTTTAATGAACATTCACAAAAGACATTAAGCTACTTCCTTTCTAGTTAAGCAAACTTTCTAACGTCCATTTTGACAATTGTTACATCAGCCACTTCAACAAAACATCAACAATACATAATGAAAACAAGTGTTCAAGCATTTACCAAGTCTACTCAGAGAAAAAAAAGAAGGAAGTATATGTTGGAGCAAAACAGTTTTTCAGTGTAAAAACTGAATTTTTTGTCGACTTTGAGTTTAAATTAAAGTAGAACCCGCTCGTGTTTCGAGTAAACTTTCGTGGATTCATATTTTACTCCGTGAGGAGAATAACATAGTATATTCACTAGCTCAAATCGAGTAAGAAATAAATGAGAAAATAAATTTCAAAGTGACCCTTTTGAAATGTAAAAATAGACGTGTAATGTGAGATTTGACATCAATCCCACATTGGTTGAGTAATAGGTTCTACATGGCCATATATAAGCAAAGTTTGCTCTATTGGATTGAGCCCCAAGGGGTACCACAATTTTATGAGCAATGCGAGTGCCTACATGCCTTCGGTTTAACCACACACCCGCCCGCCACGACCTAGCCCAGTCAGGCCGGGTGTGTGTTAGACCAAACTCTATCTTTTTGGAGAAAATTCGTTTAAAGAGTTGGGCGTATTAATCTGGAATTTAATTTCGGTATCTGTTGGATTTGAATTCGCATTGGTTCGACTTGAAATATCTGTTAAAAGTAGAGCCCCGTATATATAGCCAAATAATAATACGAAGTGACCTAAACATCCTTGTGGTCAAAATATAAAAGTCATAGTAAGAGTAAAAAAAAAGGAAAAGAAATCCTAATGAACTAGATTATATTCCAACACTCCCCCTCAAGCTCGGCGTAAAAATATCAATTAAGTCAAGCTTGACAACCGAGTCCCGGAGAATGGATAGAGTGACAGGTTTGGTAAAAACATCCGCAATCTGATCACTAGTCCCCACAAACAATGGAGTGACAATACCACAACGAACCTTCTCCTGAAGAAAGTGAACATCAATCTCTATATGTTTCGTCCTCTCGTGTAATACAGAGTCAGAAGCGAGCTGAATAATAGATCGATTATCACAATATAATGTGGATGAAGAAGTCACTGAAAATTCTAATTCGCCAAGAATCGATCGTAGCCAGATAATCTCACATGTGTCAAGCGCCAGTGCCCGATACTCTAACTCTACCGACGAACGAGAGACAACTGTCTGCTTCTTATTCTTCCAAGATATAAGATGAGTCCTCGAAAAGCACAGAAGCCCGTAGTGGATCGATCATCACATGCTCCCCCCTAATCTAAATTTGAATAACAGGCTAGAGAACCAATCTGAGATCCTGATGCATAGAACAACTCAAGTCCAGGACAAGACTTAAGGTACCGAAGAATATGATAAACTGCATCAAAATGAGGCTGACACGGCCTGTGCATGAACTGACTAGCTCGGCTAACAGCGAATGAAATGGCTGGCCTAGTGTTGGCTAGATAGATAAGTCTACCTATCAACCTCTGATAGACAGTCGGATCTCTCAATTCCTCACTGTCAGCAATAAGCTTTAGGTTTAGAATCATGGGTGATGATGTCGGTTTGCACCCTATCATCCCAGTGTCTGAGAGAAGTTTCAGGACATACTTTCTCTGAGAAAGAATAATACCCCTGTTGCTACGGATAACCTCAATCCCAAGAAAGTATCGCGAAAATCCAAGGTCCTTCACATCAAAAGCCTTCCCAAGGTCTACCTTGACCTGCACATTCCCAGAAACATCATCTCCAGTAATAATAATATCATCAACATATACCAAAAGGATGACACACTATCCAGAAGTATTCTGTCGAATGAAGCAGGTATGATCAGAATGACATCTGGTGAACCCTAAACGTACAACTACACCACTAAAGTGAGAGAACCAGGCTCGTGGTGACTGTTTCAGTCCATATAGAGACTTACGCAGTCGACATACCTTTCCAGCATACTCCCTCTCACCACGAAAGCCCGGTGGTGCATCCATATAAATAATCTCGTCCAAATCACCGTGAAGAAATGCATTCTTCACATCTAATTGATGAAGAGGCCAAGAGTATTTCGCAGCCAGAGAAATAATCAATCGAACAGTAGTCAATTTTGCCACGGGGGCAAAGGTAGCACCAAAATCACGACTTGGTACCTGAGTTAAGCCTTTCATCACAAGCCTAGCCTTGTGACGATCAATAGTACCATCTGCAAAAACCTTCAAGGTGTAAACCCAGTGACAACCAACAAGCTTCACCCCTGAAGGTAAATAGACAAGATCCCACGTATGATTACGCTGAAGAGCGTCCATCTCTGTCTGCGTGGCAATAATTCACTGGGGCTCCCGCATAGCCTCCAAAACAGAGCGAGAAACTAGCGTATCTGATAAGGCCATACTATAAGCTCGAAATGTAAGAGACAGATCATCATAAGAAACATAAGCAGAGATCGGATATAAAGTTCTAGCAGTCCAACCATAACGAACAACTGGACGGCGATCATGCCGCGGATAACGACGTCTTAAATCATCATCCTCCACTGACAATGTCTCATCAGATAAAGTAACTGGCTCAGTACCTACAATCTCATCAGTACT